GTCAGTTCCTCCAGGCAGATGCCAGGATAGTACCTTAGAATAGGCCATGATCAGAGCCTTCCACATCCTTTCTGATTGAAATCTCAATAAGGACACAAACTGTCCTGGCTGATGCTTTACGTGGTTTACCTTAATCCCCCTAGACCAGCCATCTCCAACTAATGTGCCATGGCACACTAGTATAACAAAGGGTCTGCAGGTGTGCCGTGGGAATTTGGGGGTAGGTCAAAAAGCAGCAAGAAAAAATAGAGGAACAAAAAAAAATCGTAAAAATCTGTGATCAAAATTATTTTTAAAAATAACACAACGATTAGAGTTTTAGCTATTGAACTTTTAAACACAAGTTTATTACTCATATTTTAATGATAAAATATATCCTTAAGAAATGAATGGTATGCCTTGACAATTTTATCGCCTTGCTTGGTGTGCCGCTGTACTGCTCTAGGCAAGTGCCAGAATAGTATATTGAACCCTGCCATGATAATTTCCTTCTGCAACCATCCAATTTGTATTTTATTAATCATCCTACTGTTAGACACTGTAAAGGCTGAGTCACAATAGTATTGCTGAACTAACCAGGAACAAATGTACACACTGTGAGCTACTCATTTTGTAATTTTTGAAGTGTCGTGTGTATCTGCTTCAGCATGTAGACAATCCCTTGCTTTGAATCATGTTCAGGTTGTGATTCCAGGTTTCATAGCCACATGAATCAGGAAGCAAAATTACTCTCTTATGTTTCAGTATTGCACTTCTGCGGAAACCAAATGGCAAGATGAAAACACCCGATTTTACTCGGGAATTGTTGGCATTAATTTGAACACGTTTCAGAAGTCTGTCATGCTAATAAACTTGTTTAAGGCATTGATATTAATGTTGTGAATCATTTATGCCTGTTGAGTTGCTGATGTACCTTTTTCCAGGCGTGGAGATCCAGTGTATTGGCCATTTCCACCTTTTGTTTAGCCTCCTGAGTGTGGATAGCTGCAAGCCAATCCAGCATGGTGCCCTTAACGTGATATCCAGTGTGACAAAGAACCAAGAATGTGTCAATGATATTGCAGCATCGGATGTGTTGGTACACTTGTTACTAACCCTTTACAGCCTCCCTGATGCACAAATTACAACACTGGAGACCCTGTATGCTCTCATGCACACCACCAAGATCGTCAAGGATGCTTTAGCCAAAGGTGAGCATGTACATCATCCCTTTCAGTACTGTCCCAAGGACACTTCAGTACTCTTTCCTAGACCAGTGCTTTAAGAATCCCTGAGGTGGGGTTTGTTTCCAAGAATGCAGCAACTGTGAATTGTTACTACAGTTATGCCTTTCATATTATTCATATTTAGCTACATGTACCAGAACAAAACTTATATAACAGTGGAGTCCTAGGCTTAGTGATGCTCATATGGAAATCGTATCTACACCAGAAACTGTATTGTTATCTGCAGGGGCAGCACTGTTCCTGTTGGACCTGTTTTGCAACTCAAGTGTTCCTGCTGTCAGAGAGAAGACAGCAGAGCTGTTAGCAAGGATGGGGGCTGATAAGTTAGTGGGGCCTAAAGTTCGCCTCACAATCAATCGCTTCCTGCCCGCCTTATTTGCAGATGCAATGCGGGACACACCTCATACCTGCGTACATATGTTTGAAGGCACACACGAAAATCCAGAGCTCATCTGGGATGCAAATGCTCGCCAGAGAGTGTGCAGTACCATCTCTGCACTTCGGGAGGAGTATGTGACTTGTATCTCGTACATAGTCGTAACTCACCATCATGAAGACCTTGTGTGTCTTCCTCCTGCAGTAGATATTGCATGATATTCAAGTGTCAACGCACACTAGCGTCATGCTTATAATGATTCCAATTTGCAGAAACATACACAAATAGTTTTATTTTGGGACATGAGGCTCTAGTGGCGGTGACTATGAAGCACAGTCTTCTGGGTGGGAGAGAGCCTGGCTTTTCAGAGGAACAAATCACCTCCATCTTCATGATCAACGAGCAAGCCAGCAGAAGCAGGCAGAAGCAGGCAGAGCTAGCTGGAGGTGATTCATTCTTTTCAAACATCAGGCTCTCTCCAAAGTATGCAATGTTAGAACCCAGAGAATGTACTCTTCGGTTTTATTTTTATTTGGGTCTTCTAATCACAATTTGCTTCCAGCAAAATTTTAGTTCTTGTGAATAGTGTTTTTTATATGGCTCTTAATTCTTTGAGTTTTCTAAGCAGAGGAAGTACATATCTGAACAAAGTAATGGGGAGTATATTTGGACCTAAGAGAGTGGAAGGGACGGGAAGATGGAGAAAATTGCATAATGAGAAGCTTCATAATTTGTATCGTCACCAGATATCATTAGGATGATCCATGAAAGGAATATGAGATGGGGAAGGCATATAGCACACATAGGGGCAATGGACTGGAAAACCTAAAGGGAACAAACCATATGTGAGACCTAGACATAAATGGGAGGATAATGTTAAAATGAATCATAAGGAAATAGCTGAGAGTGTGGACTGGAATTATGCAGAGACACGTAAGAGAGAAACCTTTTGGAAAGTGGCCATGTGAAGGATAAAGAGAATGTTGGGGTCATAATGTTAAAATGGATCATATGGTACTATGTTGTTAGCTTGTGAATTACACTGAACTTGCTCAGGCCAGAATCCAGCAGTGTCCATTGGTATTAATACCATTTTGAATAATTTTAACTGAAAGAGTTCGGTCTCTGATCTAAAAAGAATAATGTTCTGTGAATCAGATAGCAAAGATTGCATTCTTATGGCTTTGAAAGTAGAACATTTTTATTCTCATTTTTAAAAAGTGTTGGGATTCAATTAAAGGGAAGTATTATACAATATTCTCATAGAGTTTGGGGTACCCATGAAACTACTTAGGCCGATTAAAATATGTTTAAACGAAATGTGTAGTAAAGTCTGTATAGGTAACATTTGTCTGATAATTCTCCTATCTAGAATGGTCTAAAACACAGAGATGCTTTATCACCACTCCTTTTCAACTTTGCTTTAGAATATGCCATTAGAAAGGTCCAGGAAAACCAGGTGGGACTGAAATTAAATGGGATGCATCAGCTGTTAGTCTATGCTGATGCTGTGAATCTACTGGGTGATAATGTAGATACCATAAAGAAAAACACACAAAATTTAATTGTTGCTAGTAAGGAGGTTCGTCTAGAAGTAAACACAAAGAAAACTAAGTATATGTTGCTGTCTCATCACCAGAATGCCAGGAAAAACTTATGACATGAAGATAGCCAACAGGTGTTTTGAAAATATGGCACAGTTCAGATATTTGGGAACGACTCTTAACACATAAAAACCTGATGCAGGTAATTCTTGCTACCATTCAGTTCAGAACTTTTTGTCTTCTCGTCAACTGTCTAAAAACATAAAAATCAGAATATACAAAACTATAATTTTGCCTGTGGTTCTGTATGGGTAAGAAAATTGGTCTGACATTAAGAGAGGAACATACACTGAGGATGTTTTTGAGAACAGGGTGCTGAGGAGAATATTTGAACCAAAGGGAGATGAAGTGACAGGAGGATGGAGAAAACTACATAAGGAGGAACTTCATAACTTGTACTCTTCTCCAAGTGTAATTATAATGATCAAGTCAAGGACAATGAGATTGCCAGGATTTGTAACATGTATGGTGGCAAAGAGTAATGCGTATAGGATATTGGTGGGAAAGCCAGAAGGAAAGAGACCACTGGGAAGACCAAGGCGTAGGTGGGTGCACAATATTGAAATGGATCTTAGAGAGATAATATGGGATGGATTGGATTGATCTGGCTCAGGATAGGGACCAGTGGAGGGCTCTTGTGAACATGGTAGTGAACCTTCAGGTTCCATAAAATGCTGGAAAGTTCTTGAGTCTTGCTGCACAGGTGGTGACTTCTCAAGAAGGGTTCAGCGCCATGAGTGAGTGATGAGTGAGTTAACTATCTGGTTACATCACTCATGTAGCGCAGAAACAAAACCCTCAGGTGACATGGTGTTTGCCTGATGACACCGCAATAGGAGAACCAACTAGTCCTGGTGAGCCTGTTGTGGGCGGTGTGTATTTACGTCTGTTTGTGGCCAATCCTGGCTGGGTTGTGCGTCGACCCAAGGAGTTCCTTTCTGAGCTGATGGACACCTGCTTAGGGATTATGAACAAGGAAAAGCTGGACGTGAGTAGCGGCATGTCTCAGCGTTTGTCAGGTCTAACACATGAAAGATTCTGCACCAGTTCACCCAGAAATACATAGGAAACCACCTAATGCTGCTTCCTGGTGTGGTATGCTTCAAAACTGTTTTATCCAGAAATATGCAGGCAACTTAACTAACAATACTTTCAGGTGATGTTCTTCTGAAAGCTAGTTCATCCTGAAATACTGGAAACCATTTAATACTGTTTTTTGTATGGTATATTTGAAAGTTATTGTATCCAGAAATATGCAGGAAATCACCTGTCCTGCTTTCAGGTGTGGTCTGTCCAAAAAGTTGTTTCTATTTGCTACAAGCAGTCATTTTACAAAACATATGGCAGGTCATTAGACATGTCGACCCAGAATTTCATTTGTAGTAGTCTTGCAACTTTTGTTGATGGAATAAATTGGTGGGAGTTCTGTGATACCTGGTGAAACTTATCGCACTACCAAGCACAATGTAACACAGTATGTATGAGGAGCTGAAGGTGTGAGTCAGAATGTAATGTTCTGGGCAGCAAAAATGTGGTCATGTTATCCGTGTGTTTAGAAGATGTCTGTTATGCACAACTCATTTGATTTATAGTGGTAACCTTTCAGTACCTCAGCTGAGATATTTTACTTACCTCAGCCATATGTCATGCTTGTGGTCACATTTTGTATTCATATTCAAGAGGTCCTTAGTTCAAACATTGGCTGGAATGTAAGATTTGAGGCTTTCATGGCGGTGACTATGAAGAAAGCAGTCTTCTGGGATTTGGCACCGTGTATATGTGGTGTTAACCGACGTTTCGGAGGAACGTATCGCCTCCATCTTCAGGGTAGAAGAAAAAGTATAAGAAATCTGCAAGCGACAAGACCGTGAGAACGGTAAAAGCAGACTGGAAATAACACAGCTATGTGTGAGCAGAGAGGGAAGGGGGGAAGGGCAAGTATACAAGTGAAAGCAGTGGTGTGGGAGGGGTAGGGGAAGGGAGCTGGGGCAAGCGTGGTTTTGTGTACGGGAGAGAAAAGCAAGGTTAAAGGCTGGGCTCTAAACCGTAAGCTGGGGGGGGAGTTGTTATGTTGGTTGGTCATGGCCTTGTGGCCTTCTGGATCTGGTGTCATATCCCGGTGGTGGTTTTTTAAGAGAACAGATAAAAGAGGTTTCCAAGACTTGCTGAGACGAAACCCCTCCTCTCTGTTCATATTCCCTGGATGCAGTTCGATCTCAATGGCTTCCCTAATGATGCGATCCATATAGCGCGTCTTGGTGGCGAGGATGGAGGTATTCTGAAGCTGAATGCGGTGTCCCAGTTCGATGCTGTGTTCAGCTACGGCCGACTTGTCCGGATGTTCGAGACGGATGTGCCGCTGATGCTCCTTCAACCTCGTGTCCACGGAGCGGCCTGTCTGCCCAATATAGACTTTCCCGCACTCGCATGGGATACTGTATACACCCGGTGTCCTTAGGCCCAGGCTGTCTTTAACCGGCCGGAGGAAATTGGATAATTTGTATGGAGGCAGACCCACTGCTTTGATGTTGTGCCGGGACAGCACTCTGCTGATACGGTTGAATATGGTCCCGACATAGGGAAGGAAGGCGACTGAGCCCGGTTTGTCTTCAGGCCGGCTGATGTTGGGCCGACGGTTGAGAACTCTGTGGATCTGCCGGTTGTTGTATCCGTTCTTCTTGAATACATCCTTCAGGAGCACCAACTCCGCATGTAGGCTGTCTTGATCACACAGTGCTCTGGCCCTGTGCACCAATGTAGAAAGTGCAGCTTGCTTGTTGGAAGGGTGGTGGTGGGACGCAGCGTTAAGGTACAGGTTAGTATGGGTGGATTTGCGGTACACTCTATGGCCCAGGGAACCGTCGGGTCTCCTGTAAATATCTATATCCAGGAAGGGGAGGTGGCCTTCAGTTTCAGTTTCCATTGTGAACTGGATGCACTGGTTGATACTATTTATGTGGTTCAGGAAGTCCTGGAGCTTGTCGGGACCGTGTGACCAGATGACGAAGGTGTCGTCCACGTAGCGAAACCAGCAGCGGGGCTTGTGTGGGGCCAAGTCAAGTGCCCTCTCCTCGAAGTCCTCCATATAGAGGTTAGAGATGACCGGAGAGAGTGGCGAGCCCATCGCCACGCCATCGGTTTGTTCATAGAACTGGCCATTGAAGGTGAAGTATGAGGTGGTCAGGACATGGCGGAAGAGTCTCAAGATGTTTTCTTCGAAATGTCGTCCTAGCAGATCCATCGTATCTTTTATAGGCACCCTGGTGAAGAGTGACACTACATCGAAACTGACCATTATGTCGTGGGGATCAACATGGAGAGAGTCCAATGTGTGGACAAATTCCATGGAGTTCCTCACGTGGCGTGGACCGTTGCCAGTGTATGTCCTCAGTAGGCCAGCCAAGTGTTTGGCCAGGCGATAGGTGGGAGAGCCAATGGTGCTCACAATGGGCCTTAGTGGAACGTCAAGCTTGTGGATTTTCGGCAACCCGTAGAGTCTAGGTGGCCTGGACCCTTGAGGTCGTAGCTGTTGGCAGACCTCCTCAGCAAACGGGGACTTTTTCAGAAGAAGGACAGTCTTCCGCTCTATGGCATCAGTAGGATCCTTCTTCAACTTCCTGTAAGCCTTATACTCCAAGACAGCGGCGATCTTCCGGTTGTAGTCGGACGTATCCAGCACCACTGCCGCATTACCCTTGTCAGCCGGAAGGACGGTGAGCGCCTCATTGGCTTTTAAGGACCGAAGGGCTCTTCTCTCGGCACCAGTCAGATTGTCATTTGGCCTGCGGGAGTTCTTCAGAATCCTGACCGTCTCCTGTCAGATCTCCTCCGCAGTCTCTACAGGCAGGGCCACTATCACTTTCTCCACCCCGCACAGGATATCCTTGATGGGAACGGACTTTGGAGCCACAGCAAAATTGAGGCCTTTGCTCAGGGCCGAGAAAGCCGCTTCATCCAATGGCACATCACTCAAGTTGACCACTGTCTTCTTGCTGTCAGGTGGGCCGGGTGGGTGCTGGGCCTCATGCAACCGTTGAAACTTCTTGCAGTGCCTGGCTCTTACGTCATCAGTGATGCGTAAAGCCTTCTCACTGGCGATGCGGTCGAGCAGGTCCCAGTCATCGGCGGACAAGTCCTGGGTCAAGCGCAGGTGTAATTTAAGCAGTTCTCTGGATACAACGTCCAGCTCCCGCCTGGTGTGGTGGATGTGTTCACGGAGCAAACAGAAGCTCGTGCGTCTATAGATTCTGTCGGCAGCGTCAGAATTTATATGGTGTTTGAACTGAAGGAAACGTGGGATGGTGTTTTGGTCCCTGCATCTATTCACTTGTATACTTGCCCTTCCCCCCTTCCCTCTCTGCTCACACATAGCTGTGTTATTTCCAGTCTGCTTTTACCGTTCTCACGGTCTTGTCGCTTGCAGATTTCTTATACTTTTTCTTCTACCCTGAAGATGGAGGCGATACGTTCCTCCGAAACGTCGGTTAACACCACATATACACGGTGCCAAATCCCAGAAGACTGCTTTCTTCATTGGCTGGAATGCTGACTATACTGAGTTTTTCATTTGTTTTCTCAGTCCCTCCAGGAAAATAATGGGTTAATACCTGGCCTTAAGTAATTAAGTGCCTCACCATGATGTAGCTCTTGTATTCTGAACTTCAGCACTGGATGTTGCTGAGTGGTCAGCTTCATGCTTCTGCTGCCTAACCCCCTCAGGGAAACAACCCCAGGTACCCATTGTGTAGGAGGCTAGGTGGCCAAAGGGCTGATCTTGGTGTTACAGAAACACTTGCTTCTGCTGGGAATTCAACCCTGACTCCTCAGGTGCAGCCTGTAGCCTAGTCGGTGTATTGACCAAGCTGTCCCAGCACCTTCTGCACTGTCAGTATATTTTTAATTTTAGCATACAAAGAGTTTCGTATAATGGATGTTGTACTTATGTTTATTATTATTTCACTTCCTAGCTGCCATGGTTTTAGTTTTCATTAGCACCTGGAATGCAGATACATATTTTATGTGGCTACTGTGCTGTATTACTTTGCAGAGAAATGACACTGATACAACTTGCTATTTTCTGAAGACCCATTGCCATGAAAAATTCGAGAGCCCCACATCAAATGGTATTAGTCATTACTGCCATCTTGGTATTATTGATAGTCAGAATTTTGTGTGGCCTCACTGGTCATTATATTTATGTCAGTTGGTTCAAAAGGTTCAACACCCCTACAAGACTACACGGTGGCATAATCCAGATGATCACAGTTAAGAGTACTTCTGTCTGTGTGCAGGTGGATCTACTGGAGACTGTTACCAGTGCCTTGGTGTGCCTGCTGCAGGCACAACCTTCACTTGCTGACCAGGTGCCATCCCTAGGGCACATCCCACAGCTATGTAAGAAGATGGTGACACACCGCCAACAGGGTGCCATCATTCGGGCCACAGTCTTGGTGCTACATCAGCTGGCAACAAGTGAGGTGTGTGTGTTACAGTGCCACCTTATTTGTACTTGCATGAGAAGTGCATGCAGAATTTTGGTTCTGTTGTTTAACCCCATATCCATGCCAGAGGAGAGGGCTTGTGGTGAAGTACAGCTGGGACTTAGTCCCTGTGTAGTGTCAGATGATAGGATACTTAGTGAATGATGGATTAGAAGGGATTTGGAAGGAAGTGGCCATGGCCTAATTTGAGGTACTGTGCTGGCATTTATCTGGAGGGACTGAAGTTTCCCAGATGCAGTTTGTACCGGGCATCTTATGAACAAAAGTCAGAAGCATTGCGGCTTGAGCCAACTTACTCTGTTCAGATTTTCTGTAATTTCAAGTAATGAAAATGCTGTTTGTTTGACAGGTCTGCATTCAAGCCATGGGACATACAGAGTGCATCAATCCACTAAAGCAAGCAATGCAGGCAAGAAAAGACATGATTGGAGTTGTATGTGAGGCCCTCAACAGACTTTTCTCAACCAACCATGATCAGCTGATTAGTCAGGTAGGGCATACTACATTTGTCATGTGTTTCAGCCCGATTTACCATGACAGTGTGGGAGACCCTCACTGAAAGTTTGCCCTGTATTTTTTCTTTGTTTCCTTTGACACCCCAGTCCTCCTATCAAATATATTCTCACAGGCTGAAGATGAAACTGTTCACATAAATGCTGATTCTGCTTTTGGGTCTTTGCGTCATTGCCAAAATTTCAGAGGTGTCGGCAGCCTCCATCTTCAGCATCGAGGTGATTGGGGTGGGTGATTTTTCATGTATATATATATAGGTTTTGGTCAGAAGGCCCATGGGGGGAAGGGCAGAGACTGTTGTCTGGTCAGGCCAGTAGTGACAGTGATCAGGGAAATGTTATCAAACATAATGTTTCACTGCTATGTAAATATGTCCATTGATCGCAACAGTTTTATATTTTTAATAAATAACTGATAGACTTAAATTGTTGATAAAATCAGTTGGTTTTATTAAGGTGTTATTTTGCTACAAGTTGTGGTCATTTGTGACCATCGTCAGGCATTTAAAAACAACAAAATGTGTCCACGTTCATTACCAGACTGTCTCTCACAATGGATCCATTCCTAAATACACATAGTGTTGCCATGTAAAAGTTTTTGTATAGGATCACAATGTTTAGATATATTAAAATACTTCTCTAATTAGTAAACCTTATTTAATATTATTTTTATAAAAATTATCCAATTATAGATAGGGTTTTTTTAAGGTGGGATGGAGTAAGGGGAATGTTACATATGTATATATGTGTATATAAAATGTGTTTTCATACTTTTTGTCATTTATGGGGTTGTGGTTGTTATATGAGTGTGCATTATTGGTGCTAATGATCGCATGTGTTTTTTTTTNCACCAGCCACCACCATTCTTCCCATTGATCTGGGTCAGGTCAGGATGGGTAAATTGCTGCTGGTCATTTTAGGTTCCAAGTCCCAAGGGACTCATACACCATATTTTTCAATCTCATGACTCTGGGAGTTATGCAACTGCTGATCATAGTCTGTTGGACCAAAATCTATATATACAATAGCAGCCCCCACCTTCCCGCTGGCACAAAACTCCAAAACATCGGTAGCACTGGCCATAACAACATGGTGCCATTTATGGCAGTTCATCAGCAGAAGTTATGTCACAGCTACTACAGATTTGATGTGTAAACAAAAGAAAGAATTACATTAAATAAACCTAAAATGGGAATGATTAATTTAGCTTTAATTTTGCCCATTAGTAATTACTTACATTCTAAGATACAGTTACCATGCACTTCTGAAAGTTAATCATTTATGAATAGTGGTGAATCTTTAGTATGAAATGAATGCTTCTGAATTTTGGTGATGTTTCTCGCTGCAGGCCTTGGAGGCTGGCATGGTGCAGTATTTGCTAGGCCTTCTGGAGGGACGGTTAGAAGCCCTGGAGAATCCAGCCATGACAAAAGCACAGATTGTGAAAGCTCTGAAATCAATGAGCAGGAGCTTGCTGCATGGCTCTAGGGTGGCAGCCATATTGGATAAGTCAACTGTTTGGTCAGAGTACAAAGATCAGCGTCATGACCTTTTCATCAGCAATACTCCCACTGCAGGATATCTCACAGGTAACAGTTGGTGTTCAGGTGGGCTCCTGTTCAGTTTATTGACTGAGCCATTTGGATTCGTTGTTGCTTAGTGTTCAGTAATTGCTGTACTAGTACGGAACTATAGTAACAAATTCAAGCTGAGATCAGGATCTCCAGGCTCCACAGTCACATTCTCTGACACAGCTTAACTCTTTTTACCCTCTCATACATGTATATATGAGAAGGTGACAAAGTCAGTCTCAGAATTTTGACAGATTTACATGTTTTGAGCCCCCTGAATGAAAAAAAAAGTTTTTTTATACAACTCTGTGTGAATGGATGGATGTGCATGTTGCTTGTGCCCGAGTGGTTTGACAAATTCCATTCATAGTCAGCATTCAAGAGAGTGTCTGTCATAGGTCAGTGTCTGCTGGATATGAACACTGGAGCTTCAAATTGGCCCCAAAATACAAAATGGCAATATTCTTGGAAACTGCTCCAACAGTTTTGATTAAATTTCAGTAATTTATGGAGACCAGCTCTGTAAATCAGACTGCATTGGTGGTATCAGAATATAATGGCACGTGTACTAGGGGCCTAAATTTGAAATGTTTTATCAAAATTTCTAATGGTCAGACAGATTTAATTGTCGTTTGGTATTCAGAAAGCAACAGTGGGTCTACCAAGCAACAACGTAGTGTATTCCATTTCCAAGGTAATATAGTCAGAGTCAGTCTCTTTTTCTTATTATGTATTTTATGACTGTCAGTAGCTGGACAGCTCTTGTGAACACAGTAATGAACGTTTGAGTTCCATAAAAGTTGGGAAATTCTTGAGTAGCTGTGCAACTGGTGGCTTCTCAAGAAGGGCTCAGTTCCATAGAGTTAGTCAGTAGACTGTAAACCACTGAATGGCAGGATAATGAAGGAATGATGAATTGGAAAGTATTTGGCAGGAAGCAGTTTGGGGCTGAGGTACTATGTTGGCATTTGTGTAAAAGGTCTGAAGAAAACCATGATAAGCCTGTGTCACAGTATTCAGTGTTCTAGTCCAGATTCAAACCAAGCACCTCCCAAATATGCGTTAAGAATGTTCCTACAGTGCAAACTATTTGGTGGCTCGCTTCTCTACCCTTACCGTGAAGATGGAGCCCAGAAGTACCTCCAAAATATAGCTACTTATGTACCAGACTACATGGTATCACACTTTGGAAGGCAGTAATTTTCATTATAGCTGTAGATTCCACCTTCTTACTATCTCAAAACTTTCATCAAGAGACTGCAGTCATTGTCTTAGACTCTTCAAGGAATGCACCATTGTGCTGAGATGGAAACAAAATGCGAGTCATGTGAGCTTGTGTGTTGTGACACTCAGAATTTACTGGGCATCAGCATGTGAGGTGCTACATTTTATATGAAGCTGTAATAATCAATTTAGCATAAATTGGTCCAGAAGTTGGGTCAAGATTGCATCAGCTTTAGAAGATATTATTTTAACGGTATGCCCCTAAAACTCAATGTGGAAGTGTAGGCTTTGTAATAAAAACATAAAGAGAAGAAGAGTTTATGAATGAGATCCTCAGAGTAGGGAATATTAAGATTATGATCTTCTGGGGTATGATACTAGGCAATCTGGTAGACAATACCAATGTTTTGGAGAACGTACTGCTCAACTTTAGCAGCTGTCTGCCGGACTATGTGGCATCATAACCCACAAGACTGTAAACATAACAGGAAGCACTGCCTATACCATAGCTCAGGCAGTTATTTGCTGCCTTCTCACCATGATGGTGGCCCTGGTTTAATCCCAGGGCAGTCCACCTTAAATCTGTGGTGAACAAAATGACATAGAGGTAGTGTTTTCTCCAAGAACTTCAGTTTTCCCATAAATTATCATTCCATGAAATGAATGCTGCATTTCTCTCACTGTGCACTAGGAATAATAAACAAGGAAAGAAGTTACATCAGAAATTGATGGCTGAACCCAAATATCTTACTATAATATAATAATATGGGTGTTTGTTCTTTGAAGCTGGGACACCAGCTACAGCAGGGTACCTCACACAAGGTAACACCAAGACGTTACCCGACGCTCCTCCCCCTATGGACAGAGAGGATTCCTTGGTGAGAACTGACACCATATGATGACAGTTGACATTCTGGTAATGTATGATGTGCAAAGCCCTCTGTGATAATATGTAAGAACAGGCAACATTTAGTCTGTGCATTTGTGGAGAGCTACACGTGATAAGTTCAGTGACAATAAGAACAGTTCAGCTGCTGTGATTCAAGGAGAGCAGAACAGATGCTGAGTGCAGTAGTCTCAGCGAGGAATGGAAGTGCTTCAGAATGTTGTCAACATTTGATTTTCCACATAAAATTATGGGATTCTTAAGGCCTATAATTTTTTTAAGATTTCAGGAACATTAAATCGGTATGTTCTGATTTTAACCCATTCAGGTCTTAGGTTGGATTGAACCTGACAATCCCAATAACCTTATAATTAAAATAATGAAACTGGCCCTTGTAATGTGTCATATGTTCAAATAAATGAACCTCAGAGGGCTCAGTTTAAAATTTGACCAAGCAATTTTACACCTTGCTTAGTGTCATCTGTTAAAATATATAGACCTCAAAGGGTTCATGTAAATTGCTCTTTTTGATCTGTGAGTTATTAGAAGTGGTCTCATGGCATACAATAGTTCCTAACAACTGAGTGTGTTAGGCATATGTACACTGTCATGAAATACAACATGAGTGGTACAAACATTGAAATAATTTTTATATGAAAATAAAAATTAATCAGGGAAAGCTGTGTTAGTTTCTGAGTCAGCATATGTTACACCGTCTTTGCCTGAGACACTTGTTGCTTGCATTCCTGTACTTATGTGTATATATAATTATATCATTGTTTTTCACCCTGAAGATATCCACTTGCTAATTTAGCTGTTGACAATTTGCCATTTCTGTTCCAGATATCATTGTGTGCTTTTAATACGCACAAAATAATATGGTTTACACAAAAAAGATATTTAATCAGTGAATTATATGAACAAATCATATATAACTTTATACAGAAATCATTCATACAATTTCAAAATGTATTTTTCTTTATTGTGTAATAAATACTGTATTGTAGAATTAATATTGTATTGTTCAGTTACACTCCAGTCCTTCAACAGGCAGCCATTTGGAACTCTCAAGGGCATCCCAGAAGTTGTAGTCCCTATCAATCAATTCCCAGTTCATCTTCTCAACATCCAATGGAATGTTGTGTTCTGTAAAACATAAGAAAACTCTCTGTTCTGAATTCCCAGCAGTACATAATATTAAGTACTTACCAACCCAGGGCTACTACTGCAAAAGCAATGGTACCTACCATGTGCTTAAAATTTCCCATACTGTTTCTCAATATTTCAATATATTTCCAGACTTTTTAGTTTATAGGATGGTAACTTTCAAATAACTATATTAGATGTCACTAGAATATGAATGTACAAAGTGTGAAGCATCATGTTCTGAGAAATGATTTTAAACCAAGACAATCTTTATATTATGTGTTTATATCTTTTCACATCCTTTTTGCTTTTGTCATTGTAAATGCCTTGAACCAGCATGAAACAGTGAGGTCTTTTCTTTAAAGAAAGGTACCTGTTTTTCACACATTTTCTAGGACCACTGAAGTTTGTTCAGTAGCATTACTGTGTACTTTCTGCCCCATGCTTTGTTACTGAATTAATTTCCTATGTATAAGAAGGAACTCAACTCAACTGCGGTAATTCAGCAAGAGGTCTAAGTGTAAACATACCAACTAGCTCTAGATCATCCTCGGCACTTGCAGTCTCATCCACAACCTGCTGAACTGCATGAGGACTCTGTACATAGTCCCCCACTGCTTGTGTCATGTGGATAGAGGTTGCAGCTGACGGATCGGTGCTTGCATCATAGTAGCCTTGCCAAGCAGAATAATTCTGCCAGTATGAGGGATCATAGTACTGACTGTAGTCCTGGCTTGAGCTGTACCCACTTGTGTTAATTGTTGTGGTGGCTGTACCAGTCCTGAAAGCATGACATGCCACTGTAAGCAATCACACTTGATTCCTGGAAATGAGGATTAATTTCTCTCTGTTCCTTCAGTGGTTGACACTGTCTTGCTTCTTTCATAGGCTGACAGTTGCTGGCAGGGGGAAACAAAAAAATAAGGCTTTACACTGGAAGCTCCATACCACAGTCATAAATCTCCTAAGATAACTTTATGAGCCAACAAGGCCCTGCTAAGAGATAGGATCCAGTTCTACCATTTCAAAAATGCCACAATAAAGGTCCAGAGATAGGGACCAGCTGTCGATTGGGCCCAACTAAGTAGGTTCCACCTGAAGATGGAGACAGAATCCACTCTCCAAAACATTGTGTTTTAAGTAAAAACAGGATGATGGATGTCCAGAAACACAATAATTGTTTTAAACTGGCTTAAAATAAAGTCCAGTGGCAGCTTTCATGAATATGGTGATGAAACATTTCATTCAACAGCAGCATGGAATTTCTTAAATTCCTGAAATTACACAAAATGTCATATTCTTATTAATAACCCCAGAATCAAGGAACTACTGAATAGGAATTATAAGTGCTAACATCTGCACTGCAATATTTGGTATACCCACTGAACTCATAATAGTGGATCAAATCTCCTTATCCATTCAGTAATCACTAGGCAAGACAAATAAATTAAAAATACTAATGGTGAGTCAAGTTTAGGTCCATCCCCTTATGGCCTACCAATATATGAAATGCCCACTTGGGACCTCAAAATGGAGAAATAAGTCATTACGTTGTGGTCTGGAAGCGATGGGGCTTGGGGACGGCATTGCTGATTTTTATGGCCTTGCTTCCTAGGCCTTTGTAGCCATTCATTGCCACAAGACAGTTTTTCTGTTCCTCTTCATTGGCAAACCGGATGAATCCATAGCCCTTACTGTAGCCAGCATTGTCTAGAATCACTGGGAACACAAGGATGCTGCTGTTAATTTACATTGCATTTCTCTGGTTGTGTGAAATCCCTCAAGACTTATGTGAAGCATCTCACCTTTAGCTGTTCTGATGGACTGGTATCGTGAAGCGAATGTCCTGTACAGGGTATAGTCATCGACATCAGGCGTCAGATCTCCAACCCACAGAGAGAATTCCCGGTCTATTGGTGGACGACCTGTTGTACTCGCGTGGTTCAACTTGAATCGAATTGGCTGAAACACAATCCATTTTATAAGATCTGCCAGTAGGTGAATCAGTTTTCTACATGATCATGGTAGAGGCTTACTGACTTAATATGTGCTGTGTGTCTCACTGTCATCAGGAGTGCGTGACCTGTTATCATCAAAGTGGGTCAAAACTCTCCATGGTCACCCTGGTAGATGGAATTGGCTGGGAAGTACAAATCTAATGAGAGATATGGCACATGTTACCAAATAAAACCATTACAGAGATTGTCGGTCCTCTTTCAGAACCCCAAATGTCAGTCTGTCTGTCCCCTGAAACAAACACACTTTACAGTTGCAGCAACTTTCTGACTTATCTGTCATGCCTGTAGCCTATGGACTGCAACTCCACAAACAAAAATAAAACACAGAAGTCATCTAATCTACATATGAATCCTTTGGGATCCTAAAATGTGCTACAATGCTAAGCACCCATTATTAATCTACGACAATAAGCAATGCAGGTCCATCTCACTGAGTTGTGAAAAACTGAAAACAAATGACACCAATGATTTAAGCAGTCCTGAAGTCTCAAGTTTCTCTTTGTATCAGTTGGTAGCACTGCTTGCCAATGAAGGGCTGCTGAACAACACATGCTTTAAGGACTTCTTTGCAGGGATCATGGTCTGGAGGGAGGGCACATATTGTGCGATAAGTTCAGACCAACTGGTCTCAGAAATGTTTATCTGTTTTCCTAAAGTTCCAGTTGTCAAAGCAAGACATGGAACAGTGTGGGTATATGCCTATCCTACTGTAACGTAAAGATTTCAAGTACTGTGAATGCATGCGAGTGAAAGATGCTGGTCCGAACCAGACACATCAGAAAAGCTAAGAAAGGAAGGAGCACTTACGGACCAGAATAAGGGCCCACAGGCTTCAGCCCATACTCTGGCACCCTGCGTGGCCCTCACCCTGGCACGCCAATACTTATTAAGTTACCATATACGTACAGGCTGGGTATTTGGAATAACTTTTCCACTGAGTTTGTGCATGGCATTGAGTGCTGCTTCGTCTGTTGTGAAATGCACAAAACAATATCCTGCTGGCTCTCCAGTGTACTTATTTCTCATAACCTTAACATTCTGGGGCTGCTCCCCCATTCTTTGGAAAGCAGACATTACAAAACTTTCTGTCATATAGGGCTCCAGCTGCAAAAAGAAGTCTGCACTCGCCAACAGGTCTACAACTTCTACATACATCATACGTTAACTTCCTGCAATCCGCCAACAGACATGACACCATATTTTGTAATATGGAGAAGACAGTACACCTTTCAAGCTTTATGAAACTAAGAGAAATGGAAATACAATTCTACTGTTTGCTTCAAAGGGCTGAATCCATAGTTAAATCAATGCAGTAGATACTGAATACATCACATGAGAAAAAAGAAATGCGTATCAAGTTTTGGCTGGAAAACTATTTGGAAAGAGAGAATTTGGGAGTTTCAGCAACGTCTGGGAAAATATGGAAATAGGCAAATAGATTGTGAAGATATGGATAGGGTCCAATGGGAGAATGTTGTGATAATGGTGATGAAACCTTCAGTTCTATAACAGGGAAGTTCTTGCTCAGATGATCAATTACCAAGTGCTCCAGGAAATCTCCACACTAAGGGTCTGGATGTCATAGAACCACATGATATAATGAAGCAGAGATTAATGCTACAGATATAAACAATAGCCATGGATGCTATATTCCTTTGGCCTCCATGACTAAAGAGGCATGATTTATCCCTAATTCAGTGCTTCACTGACTCCAAAGCTCTGCCTGATAGTTTTTGAAAATGCTGGCTCCCCTGGTATTTGGTCTTGGATGATAACATGTACAAATAACACGAGAAGACAGGAGAGAAAATCTAGGGGGATGGGACTGTTCAGTAATCTGTAAGTTCACCCTAAAATCTACCCTCTTTAACCCCCTTTCAATGTCATTATTTAAATTTTGTAGTCTACTGGTGGTATGATGATATGTTTACAAATTATGCCTATGCGCAGTAGGTGTAATATAATCTCATAATTAAACAAAATGGATCAAGCAATACTCTCATAGAAGAAAACAGTCTTCTGGGATGTGGCACCGTGTTGATCCACACCCCAGAAAACCACAAAATCCTACAATACTCTCATAGTTTTCCGGCTACGTATTACTAGCGTACTTTGTAATGAAATGAGATGGCTTTTCTTATGTACTTACCCCTCCCATCCATAACTGACAATGTATTAACCCTGTTGTTGACATTTTCAGTACGTTCAGTACCTTCACTCGACCACCGCTCTTTATATTTTCGCAAACACCAATTACTAGTAAAGTTGCTAGCTTCCCTAGCGTTCCCAATTATCCAAATTACGTTGGTAACCATGTTGTTCATTTTGTGGTGATCTGGTGTCATCTATGCTGATCCGTGCCTGCCGTTTGTGTAAGGTTCTGTGATCCATGGGTATCTATTTGAGTGATTTTTGATGTTCAGCAAAGTAGTTGATTTCGTAGTGATATGGTGTCCTATTTATTGATCCGTGCCTGTAGTTGGTGTAAGTTTTGTGATCCGTGGGTAAATAATTGTAGATGTAAAGGTATGTAAAGTATGTTCCTGGACGTTGGTGGGTGTAGTGTTTATGTAGACAATAAAATAAAATCGGTAAATACCCATTACAAGAGGGGATATTGAAAAGCATTAAGAATAATTAAGTTTACATCTGTATATACTCTGCGCCACTGAATCGAGGGGTGAAATCATAGGTAATCACCTGCCAGATATCGTACGTTGTACAGTTGCGGTAATTGTAGTTTTGTTTCTAGCATTAGATATTTGGAGGTCCCAGATCGCTCAGATTAGGTAAATAATTTATGCATATTATGAAGATATATGCAAATTACGTATTGGAGGTCCAGTGTGTAGTGAATTTCTTACAAAATTTTTAAGGGCTGCTCTTATTCAACAGAAGATTATCTCAATGAAGAATTCTGTAATATTGGCTACTGATAAGCTGATGTATAGAATAAGCTATATTTCTAATAAGTTTATACCATAATCATTAAAGTATTTCGATAATATATATATATATATATATCAGCGTATTTTGATCTACAGGGTAAAATAAAAATGAATGAAAATTGTTTGATATTTCATATGTGTGGAAGAAAACTACATTGTGTGCAGTTCTGTACTTTAAAATGTTGCATACAAAACAGGAATTTAATAGCTAGTAGTGCATTACAGTGTAATTACATTTTTACTCAGGCCAGTTCCGACTTTGTAACATGAAGTGAATGAAGGATAGATTTTGCATCTCATTATAACGTTTAACATAGCAAATTAAATTCTGATAGACGATCCCAAATTCTTCATGGCTTCTCTGCGAGTTTTACAAATGTTGCCAGCAGTAACTTTTGGTTCCTCAATGAACGAGTCTTCCATTTTATTTCACAGGTACACATACGGTTCAAGAATTGGAAAACAATGACAAATGTTGTACCTTTCTTTCGGAGCCCATTTACAGATTTGACAGGCTGCCTGGTAAATCATCAGTACTATGGAAGATGTGCGGAAATGGAGATGCGAGCGATGGATTGCTTAGAAGCATATGGTGTTGACCGCGGCTTGAAGAAATGTAATGACCTTTTGGAGGATCTTCGAGAATGTGCTACCCGTGGTAAACAGGTGTGGTACTTGTAATTATTCAGTTGAAAATGAAGGATACAATTCTTGTTCTACAAAGATAACTTAATGAATTCTGGGATCAGGACCATGGTATCATGTGGGTCCTAAACCATTTTTATACCTCATCCAAAATTTATTAGTTCAGTTGCTATCTGTGTTTATTCCATGAATGTTTGAAATGTCTTCCACAGGGCAATAGATGTTCATATCTTGTGTTAATGAATCTTTAGCTGTTATTTCTCCCTGAACAGTCTTAGTGTGGGAGAGATACAGCCATGTACATTCAAATTCACGGGTTTTTAATTTGGAGGAGAAGGATATCGTTTTGTTGGATTTGAGGTTGACAATGACTGTGAAGAGTACTGTCTTCTGGGTTGTAGCACTGTATAATTCAGGGATGGCCTGACATTTTGGAAGAGTGTATCACATCCATCTTCCGGGTTGGAGAGTAAGCCAAGCAAGAAATCAGCAGAAGCAGGCAGCAAACACCTTGAAGATGGAGGCAGTGTATTCTCTGAAAAATCAGGCTGTCTCCAAACTGCACAGCATTATAGCCCAGAAGTCCATACTATTCAAGGAGATCACTTTGTCATAAGTAACTTAAAGGAGCAAGTGATCTTATGAAATGGGCTTAGCATCCCATGATTAAGAAACATAAACAGTTGTCCTGATGTCATTGTCAGGTTTCAGGATATCATGAAAAAATGTTCGATGTATATTCAGTAATTGGAACTATAACACATCTTTTCATCTTTAGCCCTTGTCACATTGTACATAGAACACGCAGTTTAAATACAATTCTTGATAGAAGGAAAAATATAAATGTAGATACATAGTTATTACAGTGATTTGTACACATAGGTAAATTGTGCAGTACAGAAGAAAATAATTATGTCCAAAGAAATACCTCCTCAATAAATGTTTAAGACTCTTAGTGGAAGTACAACATACTTCCCATTTGTCAGGCATGTGTGGGGGGGAGTGGTGTATGTCAACCAGTTGTGTGAGAAGAATCCTTACAGAAAATAGAACGGGCAAAAACATGTTTTTCCATTACTTCTTGCATGAGATTCTTCCTAGGTGACATAGAAAATTGATAGGTAAAAGATTTCTGATATACTGTAACATGATCACAGATTAAGTGAATGAAATATTTCCCTCTGTAAGTGTTTGCTTCTGCCAGCATTAATGATGTTATCATCATACTGTATGGAAGCAGTAACATGCAATGTAGGAGTTGAGGTTCTGTCATGACTGTGAACAGTGCTGTCTTCTGAGGTGTAGTGTCTGGTAGTCCAATAGATGTTCACCAGTGTCTCCAAGGAATGTACTGTTTCAGTTTTCAGGGCTGAAGACTAAGCCAAGCAAGGAGCAAGAGCTGCATGTATAGGTCCAAATGCATGCCCTGTTGGTTTTCTCAGGGTGCTTTTTCAGGCATATGTCTGAACAAAATGTTCAGTGTGTGGCTTGTTGTCAGACCCTGAGGATGGAACAGTATGTTGCACCAAACTGATCACTGAACTTCTAACATTACATGGTATCACATCCCAGAAGACAGTTCTAGACTGGACAGGATCTGTACATAGTTGAAGAATAGTTAGTCCTTTGGACATTATTTGCAGTGATCATTGAATTAGTTACTCCTTAAATTTATATTTTCTGTAAGTACTTTTTAATATGTCTTGCTTGTCATGGGGTTTTTACATGGCTCAGAAAATCCCCTGTTGCTTGCTTCAAAGTTCTTCATGTGTGAACTTGTTAACCAGACTCCTGTTCATGTTACAGTTGTTGCGGATTCAAGCAATGAAGGACGAACGTGAACGCCAGTACAAGGCAGGCGAGAGGAGCAAGGAAGAGCGTTATGCAAAGGCCCCTAGAATTGATGCTTACTAGACACATTGTTTAATAGTAACAGATTTGATGCTGTAACAGAACACAGCTGTGTCCTAGTTATAAGAATAAATTTATGTTTGACTTTGGTACCTAGTCATGTGAAAGACACATATAAATTACCGTATTTACGCATGTATAGGCTGCACATTTTTTGCCAAAAATTCAAGAGGAAAATTGGGGTGCGGCTTATATTCGAAATCACACTTCATTTAAAAAAAATTATATTCATAATTAGTAATACAGGGTGTTCTACTCCTGAAATAATATTCCAAGAAAATTATTTTTTCTATAATTTGTCTGAAAATTGTGCTGCGGCCTATACACGCACGCGGCCTATACATGCGTAAATATGGTATTTGTAGACCATTGCTTTGTGCCTGACATGTGTTCTGTTTCTCTGTGAGTACCTCACCTCTAGGCAAGTGAGGATGTTGTCTGGTAAATAGCTCTAACCCTTACTTCATTACTCTGAGAAATGCAGATAATGTCAGCAACCAATGTAGTCCTCTGGTCTGCTGTGCCTAAAACATCTTTGAGACTACATCATCATCAGATACTGACACATCGTTACATTGCCATTGGAAAGTTAGTAGATTCTATTATCAGCATGTGATGGGATCCAGAGTCACTGTCCTGAAGATCTTGTTGAACACAATGCAAGGTTGCGTACTGAAGATATGACATATCTTCAAAGATGTTTTAGGCAGACATTTAGCTGCAAACAAGCATGGGGTAACTGTTTTGGTTTCAGTCACCATGTAGCGTGATGGAAAGTTACAAACATTTCAGAGGAGATGGCTACCTCCATCATCAGGGTGCCTAAGGATATCTTTTGGTTTGAAATCTGAGGCAGCAGATCCCTCCAAAGCCCTGGGAACATTCTGCCAGACTACATGGAGTCACATCATAGAAGACTGATTTTCTGTGGGTTCATTACTGAATGGTGCTGTCATTATGGAGACTATACAGTGTTAGATGATTAATGAATGTGGAGCAGTTGGTGGAATGAGAGTTGGCAGGGGTGACCAAAAGACTCTGAGAAAACTTTCCCCCAGTGACATTTGGTCCACCAGAAATCCCATATGACCTGACCTGGGATCAGACCTGGGCTGACATGGTGGAAAGCCAGCAGTTACTTGCTTGAGCTATGACACAGACCCTAGGAGACTGGATCTTCATATTTACCACTGTGAGAACCTCAAATTTTGTGGATACAGCATTATCTGAAAAGCATCATGTGTCATGCGTTATTTTGAATGGAGCCATTGAAGTGAAAGACATGGTGCCACAAATACAATTAAATTAACAAGCAGGGAGCATTCTGCTTGCTTGGCTTACACGTAAACCTGGAAGATGGAGGTGGTATATCCTTCCAAAAGGTTGGTTAAATTCTACTAGACTGTGTAGTGTCACATCCCTGAAGTTTCAGGTTCCATAAAATGCTGGGAATTTCTTAACTAAGCAGGAAATTACAGGCATTCCAAGAAGGACCCTTCATGTAGTTAGATGCTTGAAAAATTATTTAGCAAATAATAAACTTAACATCACCTGCTGTCTTTCCTCTCCATTAATAAGTTATGAAGCATATGTAAATTTTGTCTCAGTAGGAGACTTATTTGGTGGTTTTCATCACTGTGTTAAGGTCGTCATGCATTACGGTCTGTAGGTAAAGCAGAGAATCAGGATCAGTATTGACGTTATCAAATAACAAAGTGTATTATTTGATTTTACATTGTACGAGTAGTTCCAATTTTATTTGTAGAATGATCACTTATGTATGATTATTAGTTCTCAAATACGGTTTGAAGTCGTGTGTATGGAAAGTCAAAACTATGTTTAACTTTGTAGAATTAGAGGTTCTCAGAGTGGTAGATATGGAGAATTCTTTCCTTAGGGTTAGAGCACCATATAATCCATTGAAAGTCAACCATCGTCTTGTTTGCTGTCTGCTTCATGCTTGTTTCTTGGCTTACTCTTCAACCTTGAAAACAAGAGTTTAATGTTTCACCAAGGCTGACTCTCAATGAGCTACATGGTGTTACATCTTAAAAGACAGTGCCTACAAGGAGCCAAGATCTCTGTTGAGTATTTTATGTTTACAGTAATGTTAAAATGCAATAGCAGTTGCAACAAATGAAAATTATCTTCTTCAGCCTCTTTGTTTAGATGCTAATTCATTAATGAAGACCAGTAACTTATGCTCTCGTTTGATTATCCAAACCAAAGTTATTGAAGCAGAACAAATGCCCTACAATACTTGGGTATGAAATCATTATTCACAATTTTGGTGTTTTGCTGCGATTAATCATTATTCACAATTTTGGTGTTTTGCTGCGATTCCTCTTCTATCATATTTTACGAAATTAATCTATACATTCTTGCAGCACCTGTAGTGGGGGAAGAGTCATTACAGAAACGCAAAATAAATATTGCCATTCAAACCTGTAAATTACTGCTTGTATTACTCTTTTAACTGTGATTTTTCTTCGTATAGTTTGGGTTCATACCTACGATATCTACCGACTACCACGGCTACGCCATTTTGCCGGAAGTTGAGCGTAATTATACTAATGTAGAGCCATTTCTTCCCTACAGATGGCAGATATTATCGTATAGCAAAGAGAATCAATTTCCGCTTGGGATAAAATTGCCGCAAAGAGAGTGAAGTTGCCTCACCTGTCATGACTGTCAGACCTGTTCTTACCGCGTTGGATAGCCTTGTGGAGCTGTCAGCTAGAATTTTATACTAAATAACGGTTGTCACATACATTATTTAGTTTGAAAGTACTGCATTGCCAGAGTTTAGTGAACGTGGCGACATAAAGAATAAAAGTTTAACGTTGAGAGTTGATTCTTATTGTTTGAGTGACGGAATTTGAAATCCTCGTTGAAAACCTCGTGTTTGTATTCGCCATAAGGCGGACTAGTACACGATTGACGTGCTGTGTCTGGATGTGTGTGACTTTATGGACTTGTGTTTGTATAGAAATCGAAATAACAACACAGAAATTAAATAGAATTTCAAGTTTCCAAAGATCTTGACGACACTTAATCACCCTCATTACATCGTGAAGTTGCAGCGTCGGCTCATGATGAAGTTCAAACGTCGTAAGTATTCTGCTGTTAGTAGTTACATTGCGACTGCATGATTATATAATTAATGTAACGTATTTATGTGCAGTTTATAGAGTATCTATGGTTATTTTAACGCATTAAGTAAGAAATGCCGCATCGTGAGCACGTGGTCACAGCATACGCAGCGCAGCCATTGAACATTGCGTGGGGTTTGCACGGCATTCTCTCAACTGTCATAATGGCGGGATTTGTCATTTGCGTTGTTCGAATACCATGCCGAATATAAAAATTTAACATCGTTGCATATAAATTTGAGGTATTCCTTAAGGTTAGTGTTTTGTGCAATAATATGAGACTTCCGGTGGTTTTTGTAATCTAAGTAACCTTGGTCGGAGTGGGGGTTGTAGTGTAATTTCACAAGCCTGTCACGTCTTGGACACGAGGCGTGCGTGGCATGTGTTAAGTTGCTGGATGACATAACAGCAGAAAGTTTAAATATTGACCATGTAACCAGAGAATATAAGAAGTAACAGCCAATATGGATTGCTTTGGTAACAGTTTCAAACTTGGTTGCAGTGTTTATGGTTACCAAATGATTGATTATTCGTTTTGACCTATTGAGATTTTGACTATGTTGTATTTTAGCGTCCTGTTGCACTGATTTTCATCCATGATGTGTATACAGTTGCCGTCTTGTAGTGCACTCAGTTTCACCTGATACTTCACGACATGTTTCGGCAACATAACGCCATCATCAGGTGCCCTAATTACGCTAATCTGTTTCATTGCTTGCCTTTATAGAATTGTTTAAAAAGTATTTAAAAAGTGCGTATTTGTCAACTATAATCAATTTACACGCACTAAAACTTGTTAAGATTATTCATCTTATATGTCATAATTAAAACTTGTGTGTGGTTCTTCCACTATGGGGGTCGTTTTTCTTATATTCTGTGTAAACCGTGTCTTGTGATGTGTGTTCCCTTCTTAGCTGCGAGTGTTGTAGTGTAGTGTTGATGGCACTATGTTGCCGAAACATGTCGTGAAGTATCAGGTGAAATTGAGTGCACTACAAGATGGCAACTGTATACATATCATGGAGATTTTGACTACGTTACGTAACGTAACATTGATCCTATTTATGATCAACACAATTCAGTGTAACGTGACATTATGTTCTAAGGAACGGCCCCCGACATGTAAGTGCTTCTGCTAAGGGCTTGATCCTAGTAACAGTATGTGAGGAATGTAGCCATGCTCGATGTATTATGTTGAATTCTTTTGCAATACTGAACCAAGGCTTGTTTAAAGTAATTCGGTAGATCTCTCCCACTTGCTGTAGTAGTATCAGTAAGGCAATACCATCGCCAGCGACCATGGCCCCCGGCGGGGATGTGGGGCAAACCTCTGGAGTTAAAAAAAATCAATTGAAAAGACTAAAAGTCAAACTGCATGGTGCTGAGCCCATCTTGGGAAGCAGCCAGTTGTACATAAACTCAAGAACTTACCCAAATTTTATGGAACTCGAAGGTTCATTATCGTGTTCACAAGAGCCCTCCACTGGCCTCTATCGTCAGCCGGACAAATCCAGTTCATTCCAACCCCGCCATATATCTCTAAGATCCATTTTAATATTTACCACCAACGTACGTGTTGGTTTTCCAAGTGGCCTCTTTCTTTCTTTCTTTCTTTCTTTCTTTCTTTCTTTCTTTCTTTCTTTCTTTCTTTCTTTCTTTCTGGCTTCCCCCCCCTCCAATTATCCTGTATGCATCCTCCTCCGTTCCCATTCGTGCTACAAGTCCTGCCCATCTCATCCTCCTTAACTTTTTCATTCTGATTACACTTGACGAAGAGTACAGGTTATGAAGGCCCTCATTATGCAGTTTTCTCCAACCTCCTGTCACTTCATCCCTCTTCGGTTGAAATATTCTCATCACCCTCAGTCTGTGTTCTTCCCTTAATGTCAGAGACGAAATTTGACACCCATATAGAACCACAGGCAAAATTATGTTTTTATATATTCTATCAGGTATTAATACCATGAAGATACAAATTATTGTTAAAATATATTCATTTACCCTACAGGAAAATTATTTTTCACGGGCTTAAACGTGAGTTTGTAAGAAAATTTTGTAGGGACCTCCGTGCAGAAAGAAATCATGGTGGCACCCATGTTAGTAGTGATGGAGGTGCGTATTTAAAGCCCCCTTCTCTCGTGTTCATGAAGCCTTCTGAAGTAATACCTGTTTGTTGGGCTCAGCCGGCCATGACCAGCACTGGTTTTATTCACATGGATTTTTGAATAGGCAGCATTTTTTCAGTTGCAGTTTAGGCAGATGCTGTATAGACAGTGCTTGTAATGCTACGCTCTCTGGCATCTCAAGACCGATCGGTGTAATGAAATGCAAATTATGACGGATGATTTTTTTAAACAATCCGATACGAATGGAGCATCTTCTGTGCCCGAAATGCATGCAGTTCCGTCCCACGACACCGAAGCCGTTGTCACTGGAATGTTAGGAAAGAATTACACTTGTGCTGTCTCCGTCGTGGAGAAGCGATGGTCTGCGGAAGTCTGAGTGCCCCCCCCCCACGAGACGATAAGTTCGCACCCTGCCCACGGATGAAAAGAGATCAACTTTCACAAAATTTCGTCGCAATTAATAACATTGACGAAAGCCGTCATTGCCTTACAGTTGTTAACAACAGTTTTCACCGAACAGATAGTGTTTGGGGGGGGGGACACTGGCGGTGCTCCTTTCGAATCCCAGCGGGGACACCGGCTGTCCTAACTTGAGGGGTTTCGCGGGACTTCTCAGCCCCTCGAGGAAGTGCCGGGATAATTCCCTTAGGCCACGACCAGTTCCTTACTCAGGCTTCTCACCATTCGTTTGCTGCATAGTCTCCAGGCCACACACGTTTCCAGACGCGGTGCTTAGGCACCTCTTTGCCCTTGTTAACGTTCCTTCGTGGAAACGGAACTGAAAGAAAGATGCGGGAGTGCTACGTTGCTGATGTGTGGCCTAGTTTCCAAGGCCGCCAGTGTCTCAGGCTTGTGTTGACAGCTTGCACGGTGTTTCGTCATGTTACGAGGCTCATTAGGGCAATAGCATTGACCCTATATCCTTCCGCCTATCTGCATTGAATAGAAGCGCAGTACATAATTTGTAGCCACACAACTGAGGCGCGCAAACCCCTGGACAAAAATAGCGCGTTTTCCGTTTCGCGGTTCTCCGTCTACGTCTTGTGTCACATGTCAGACTCATTGGACTACCCCGATGCTCGTGACTAGTGAAATGTGACGTTTGGAGGAGGCGGCGAACGCGGACTGCAAAAATACCGCCTCATCCGAGTGCTTTAACAACAAAACTGTCAAGGTAGCCGGCCCTGGCATCGAGACAGTAACCTGGAAACCCTTACCGAAATGATTCTTGGATTTAAGATCTCACAGTGGTGACTATGAAGAATACACTCTTCTCGGATGTGACGCTATTTAGTCCAGTAGAAATCCACCGACGTTTCGGAGGAACGTATTAGTGTTGCCATCAGGATCTTAGTGCAAGCAAAGCAAGAAACCAGTAAATAAGATCTAAAAGTTTGTGACGATGGTAAATTGTTACAATTAATATGTTGTTGGACATTATCCATCTTGTCTGTTCTGGTCCGGAGGTAGGGGCTAGCTCTGTCTATTGGACCCAGCTGAGTAGTTTTACCTGAGGACGGGGACAGAATTCACTCCCCGAAACGTTATGTTTTTTAAAAAGAAACAGGACGGTTTTTTAAGAACAGACAAGATGATGGACAATGTCCAACAACGTATTAAGTGTAAGAAACCAGTAGTTTTTCTTTTCGAGGGGGGGGGGGTTGAGACTGAGTCCAATTGGTACGCCGGCGTCTGTTTGTCCTATTGTACCAGCCCCGGATGAATGTGGAGCAGTCGGTGGAATGAGAATTGTCATGGGATACTGAAGTACTCCGAGAAAACCTGCCCCAGTGTCAGTTTGTCCATTACAAATTCCACATGACCTCCTCTGGGATCGAACTCCGGCCGCCGCTGTGGGAAGCGGGCTGTTAACCGCTTGAACGGTGGCACGGGCAAGAAACCAATAAGAAGCAGACGCCAAGCAGAGCCTGTTTGTTGCTGGTTTCTTGCATGGCTTATTCTTCGTTACTGACTGTGGAGGTGGTACGTGCCTCCGAAACGTCATCGGTCTTCTACCGCAGTAAACGGCGTCGCATCCAGCAAAGTAATTGTTGGTCATTTTTTCGCATCTCGAATTCCCTCACGTATAGTTGCCGTTGTTCTTTGAAGGACTTGATGTCATTCACGTTTCTATATGCGTGGTTCTCCATGTTATTAGCCAGAGATCAAACCGTTTATTCTGCCCCTGACATGTTTGCGACTGTTGTGATACTAGTGTGTGGCGTGAAGTCTCGAATGAAGCAGGGGCACACCCTGCAAGTCTTGTGCATACTACTTGCCAGACACAAGCATCACGCTTGCAACTTCCCATCAAGGAGACGACCAGTTACTTTGTGGAGGTGTTCCAGTATCTCTAGCGTTCGGGAGGTGCTCTGTTCGAATTCTGTTAATCTTTTCGTGGTTTTCTTCAGTCTGCCTACCTGACAGACGTGGTGATACGGCTTGTTTACGCGCATTTGATTTTTCTAAGCTGGTCAGAATTGTCTGGAACATGAAGTTTCGTAATAAAGTCCATAATGAGGTGGTTGGATCCAGTTTCACTACGTCGTACCCTGTTTCTCCAAGAAGCATTTGAAGATGTCGGTAGTCTGTTCCGACAAATTGTGGTAACTGGACGATGTATCACTCCGCCGAACAGCACCGCTACTGTGTTTCAGCAACTGTTGTACTGGTTAACGAGGTGGTTTTCAGGGACAGTGTTGAAGGTGCAACTTCTTATCCGTCATTTGATTTGTCTCATTCTGGTCCGTCACACTGTTAATTACAAAGTGGATAATTTTCAGTCCATTGTGACATACAAGTTTACAAGTTAAAGACTGAAGTGTTGTAAACT